CTTTAGTTCTTCTTCACTTTCTGCCATTAGGGTGGTATCGTCCGCATATCTGAGGTTGATGTGAAACTAGACAAGCACTTTTTAGCAAGTGACTAAGGGCACTTTGCACCTGAGAAAAGGTTGCTGGTCAATAATCTGGTACAGACAAGGAATGAAGAAACAGGACAACCCAAAGTATGAAAACTTATAAAACTTGCTGAAATAGCCAGGCTTGTTGGACGACCCTCTCATCTGGACTCCTTCATTTTAGATATTGTACAATCGAGTTTCCTAACAGCCTTATTCCAAATATTTGGCTGTGTTTTGAACACAGCGTTTCATTTAGAAAATGGGGTGATGCCCCAGGAATCTAGGCCCTGCATATGACAGCTCTATTTCTAACTCAAGCTTCACTTTCCCAATGACTGTCTAGCTGCCATGATCCCTTTTAATAATCATTCCTACATCCAGAAAGTCAGAATTCAAAAGGATTTAGCCCAGTGCTGCTTCTCTGAGCCATTGTAGATCTACTGAATTTGACAGAGCTTTTTCCCGGATATCTCTACATCAAAGATTTAAACAAAACTCCACTGTGAAGCCAATCCACGTGATCTGTAGAACATCTTCTTGGAAAACCATGAATGACAACCAGTCAGGGAATGTACAAACCTGATATTTCACACCCTCCATCCTCCAGGATCCACTTTGAACGGTGAATATGTTGGAAGACTTATTTAACTGTCATAATGTAGTTCAGGGTTCTACAAAGTGGTCGATATTGACCCCCCAAGGGTCAATGGGATTATCAAAGGGGTTGTTATTGTTGTTGGTGTTATGTGTAGTACTATTAGTAACAGTACTATTTATTACATTATTTTCATATAATAAATGTTTGGGGGGTTGATGAACAATATGAAACTTCATGAAGGGGATTGATGAGCTGAAGAGTTTGGGGACCCCTGATGTAGTTCAACTTCAACACCCATAATTGATCAGAAAGACCTTTAGGCAGAGTCTACAAGTGACTGCTCTGATGGACCACTAAATGCCCTCGGTAACCTTATCAGTCTAGGGCTCTTTAAAAGTGGTCCCTGAATTGTAATTTCTAAGGTTGGCTATGGAGAAATGATTAAATCCATGAGATGGAAGCATATTAATTGTATTCCAATACTTTGATTTCATTTTAATGATTGAAATGAAATCATAGTTTGCTTCTTTCCTGGCCCCAACTACTTTTTGGATAGTGGCCCATAGCACATCCAGGCCCAGCCTGAAAGAAGATATGGATGCCTGGAAAAAATCTCCATTCATTTCCATTCAGATCCACTGATGAGATTCATCAGGAGATCAGTTCATCATCTTTCCAGTGAAAACTAGCTGTAAAGAAGAGGAAGAAGGCACTCCATGTAGAAGCTGAACTCCATGGAGAATGGATAGGATTACATGTAAGTTATAAGCTCCTGGACATTCCCAGTTAAAAGTCTTTTGACCCATGCCTGGTGATCAAAGCTCAGGAGGCTTGGTGCCAAGGCTTGTATTCTGAAGTGGAACATAGCAGAGGTTGGGGTATAAATAAGAACATTCTTAACTAAAGTTACCAGAAGAAATCCAAAGTTTCATTTCTGTTTCACGGACAGCTTTTACATATTGCCAGTTTTCTCACGAGGAAGGTAAATATGAAACCACCTTAATCTGCATTGCTGTAAGGCTACTTTCCACACATGAATCTTTAACCCTGGATTACCCAGGAAGGACAGACACTCAACAGCTAACGTGTTGTGTCTATGTGCATCTGTTTTCTACCCTCCCTCTTGTTGTGTCTTTGTATTTATGTCCAGGTGTGCAATGGAAGGGTTCCATATACTCTGCTCTAAATCACTGATCAGAAGGGAAAGGGGAGGCTTTGATCAAAGTCATTCGCAATCCAAGTCCTTCTCCAGCTGCCTCTTCCATAGAGATAAATTGGAAGGGTGGGGGGAACATTCCTGATTTCTCTCTCTCTCTCTCTCTCTCTCTCTCTCTCTCTGCAGCCACTGGCCAGGTCTGGCCCATTTTCCAACTCAATCTTTCTTCTGCTCATTTCTCCTCCATAACTAAATTTGGTCCTGCCCTGTTCAGTTTTTGGAAAGTTATCCAGCTGATAGACAGACAGACAGACAGATGGACAAAGTCCCAGCACTGTTCATGCCATTCTTTTTTTCTTCCTGGGGGGGGGATGTCAAGAGGATGGTTTCAATCCCAGGATCTACACACACTGAGATGGATTAAGGGAACCATCTGGAATTAGTAACAAGGAGAAAAGTTCATTGATTAATTAGAAGGTGAAATTCAGAAGCTTCAGGCTGCCAGCAATAGATGGAACCATTGGGTTTCATCAATGCACAAACTGGCCACTGAACACAAGTCAAATTGGTTTATTATCATTTTCTGAGAGGTGTCAATGGAGTTCAGGGGAATCAGAATATTTACCCCTCTTCTATTTCTAATTTCTGCAGGTTCTTGGAGGCCTCCGCCATGCTCACCTCCAAGATCTCATTGCTTGTCTCTTTGGCTGTTCTTCTTGGGGTTCTGCTGGTGCAGCCCAGCAAAGGGCAAACCTGGGCAGACTTCAAACGAAAGCACGTAGATCCCAACCATCCCTCCCCAGATAGCAACCTTAATCTATTTTGTGAACGGAGGATGAGGAATCAAGGCATGACTAGATATCACTGCAAATACAGAAACACTTTCATCCATGAGCAACCCAACGTTATTCAGCAAGTGTGCCAGGGCTCTGGGACTCCAGCAGGTTCTTTCACAAAAAGCATATTTCGTTATGGTATGACTGATTGTCATTTTACAGGTGGCACTCCTCCTAACCACTGCCAATATCATGGTGTCCCAAAATTCCTACGCATAGTTGTAAAGTGTGATCCATTTGTAATGGCACCAATTCACCTTGACCAGATCGTTCCATAAGCAGAGAGCGGAATGCTCACTTCCCATTTCCTCAAGAAAGTATCCAGGAACTGTGGATCAAGAATTCAACTCTATATTGCATTATCTGTTTGCTTGAATCTTCATCTGAAATTAAATGTATTTTAAAGAAAATTCTCCCTTCAAACTGAACTAGAACTGCAGGGCTAAGACAAGTAGCCATGGGCTTTGAAGTTACAGGTCTCCTTGCTTTCGTTTCCATGTGCTTCATAGTGAGGAAGACAGCTGTCCTTTTTTTCCTCTTCTCTCAAACTTCTGAAAATTAATCAGGGGATAAACTTGAACCTAAGTGGCAGTAGAGTTATAGCTACATATATGTATCTGCAGACTCTATTAATAAAGTGGTTTCTTGTAAATACAAACTGTTGATGTGTCTAACCTAGGCTCAGGTTGTGACCTGTACACTTTCCTTCTTCTCCATTCTCAAAGCATCTTAGTGGGGCCATACTATAACCTTGGAGGTCAGCCAGGACTTTGGAGTGCCACAAGGAATCACCTCATGGATCCACGTGAAGCTTCTTTAAGACTTCCACCCAACACTTTGGAGTGCCACCAGAAATTCTCCTTGTAGGTCTCTATTCAGGCTCTTGAACTTCTACCCAACATTTGGAGGCTCTGAGAGAACCCCTCAGAACATTGGAATGCCCTCTTGGCTTCCCAGTTAATTACTAAATTGGCTCCTTTGGGTTCCCCTGAATTTTTTGACTCAAGTTTCCCATCCTCACACTCTTGCAGAATGGCCATGTCCTACTCATACATCCAGATTATGCTCTCCTTTGTTCTATTTAAGACTAGGCAGAGCTGAACCTGGTTAGTGCTTAGTTGCAGGTCACCAGGAAATGCCAGGGGTGTAGGGTGGACTGGGAAGGAAACAAAAGAAAAGAAAAAAATCTCAGAGGAAGACAATGACTGTCACTATATACGGATGTGCCCGCTTAGGTTGGCTTTGGAAGAAGTCCATGGGCTCTAGCAGATTGCTGTAGGGAAGAAAGTCTTATAATAAACTATTCTAAAACAAAACATATCATTTTCTCTAAGGGACTTAGACAGTGCAAAGTTCAATGGCAGATGAACAGTAATAATATACCCAGGTTTCATATATCCTGGCATAGTAATCTCTTTGAAGTTAATTGCTTAATGGGGAAAAACCTTCTGCCCACTGTGCAAGACCAATTTCTGGAAAAGGGAGGGACTTTTTACAAACTATCAAATTGCTAATGCAATATGTCAGATGCAAAAATAGTGGCCAATTCCTCTGCAAACTTAGTTCTCCTTCCTTCAGGGCAGTGGACTTCACTCTAGGGAATGCACAGCTCTTCCTCAGTTCCTTGATTCTTTGATTCCTTGATTCCTTTTCTTCTTTCCTTCTGAACCCTTATAGACTTAATTAGATGGAGCTTCAATATTTTTATTACTGTGAAATAAATAATTTCATAAAATAAATGTTGTCAGTGGCCATGCGCAAAATAATCGTCATGCAACTGCATGCATTTGTATCAAATGCAAAAACAGCAGCCAACTCATTTGCAAACCTCTTTCAGGGTAATAGACTTCATGCTAGGCAATATGTGAGACTGACTTCATTCTTCGGTTCCTTTTCCTCTTCCCTTCCGGGCCCTTTAGAGCTGCTGAATTCACTGGGGCTTCCTCCCAGATATCTCTGCATCACAGATTGAAACAAAACTCCATTGTGGAACCAATGCATGTGATCGATACCACATCTGCTGGGAAAACCACAGGCATGGATGCTAACAAATCAGAAAATACAAAAACTTAGTTTTCATATGCTTCATTCTCCAGGATCCACTTTGAGCTGTGAAGAAGTTGGAGGACTTACTTATTTGGTTGCTCTAAATGGATTTCATAAGGATCTCTAGGCAGCGCTTAAGAGTGACCAGCTTCATGAGACACTCAAAAGCCATGGGTACTCTTAAAAGCCTAGGGCTCTTTTAAAAGTGGCCCCCAAATTGTAATTTCTAAGGTTGAATGGGGAAAAATGATTAAATCCACAGGTTGGAATCATATTCACTGTATTACATTAATTTGATTTCATTTTGATTAGACTGAAATTGAAATGAAATTATATTTTGATTGTCTCCTGGACCCATCTACTTTTTGGAGGGTAGCCACTGACACATCACCCAAATGGGTATATGAGGACTGTATGCAGTCCTCAGCTGGATGGAAGATCTGGATCCCTGGAATAGAGTCTTGTATTTGGACCACAGTGATTTCCATTCCGATCCACCATCTCTTACAAGATTCACCAGATGATCAGTTGATCATCCTTCCAGCAGAAACCAGCTGTAGAAACCAAATTCCTTGAAGAAAGGATGGAATAAAATGTAAATTATAAGCTCCTAGACATACCCACTGTGGGGTTCTTTGGAAGGCATCTTGAAATGCCCATTGATGTTGTGCATTCATTCTGCAAAGCAATCCCTCCTTCTCTTTGCTAGATCTGTGGCACATCTGTAATGCAACTCCTGTGAATTGCAGACTCCCTCCAGCCATGAAGCCAGCCAACCCTGTTGGCCTTTGCAACGCCCAAATTCTTGTTTGGCCTTGGTGCCATTTGAATGCAGCAAATTCCAGTAAACTTTCAATGCCAGCACTGAGAGCAATAAAGATAATAGGGAGAATTACTTAAGAGTCTCTTGACCCATGCACAGTGATAAAAGCTCAGGACGCTTGGTGTCAAGGCTTGTATTCTGAGTTGAAACACAGCAGAGCTCCAGGTATAAAAGAGAACTCTTTAAACTAAATTTACCAGAAGAAATCCAAACTTTTGTTTCTCTCCCAAGGACTACTTTTACACAAGTGGATGATTTTCTCACCAGGAAGGTAAATATGAAACCACTTTAATCTTCATTGCTCTGAGGCTATTTTCCACACATGCATTTTGAACCTGGGTTACCCAGGAGGGACAGATACCCAAAAGCTAATGTGTTGTGTCTATGTGCATCTGGTTTCTCTCCTCCCTCCTGTTGTGTCTCTGTATTTATGTCTAGGGGTGCAATGGAAGGTCTGCATATCCTCTGCTCTGGATCGCTGATCAGAAAAGGGGAGGCTTTGAATGAAGTCATTCATATTCCAAGTCATTGCCCAGCTGCCTCTTCCACAGGGATGAATGGGGGGAGGGCATTCCTGATTTGTCCCGTTTCCCAACTCAATCTTTCTTCTGGTCACATTTCCTCCATAACTAAATTTGGTCCTGCCCTGTTCAATTTTTGGAAAGTTATCCAGCTGATAGACAGACAGACAGACAGACAGACAGACAGACAGATGGACAGAGTCCCAGCACCATTCATGTAATT